CAGTGGAAAAGCCGAAAATGATTAATCATTATGTAAATTAGGTAATTAATAATTTTAACAGATTTTACCCGAACTAATCAAATCTGCGCATTAGTTCAGAGCATACAAGTGCCAGTTTCATTGAAATTCAATGAGAGGTTCTTCAAAAATCAGTGGAACAGTCATAGAACAGCTTAAAATCAGTTAATTATCATGCAAATTAGGTAATTAATATTCATAGATTTTTACCCAAAATCTAATCAAATCTGCGTATTAGTTCAGAGCATCCATGTGCCAAGTTTCATCAAAATCCAATGAGTGGTTCTTCAAATATCAGTGGAACAGTCATGGAACAGCTTTAAATCAGTTAATTATCATTCAAATTAGGTAATTAATATTCATAGATTTTTACCCAAAACTAATCAAATCTGTGCACTAGTTCAGAGCATCCATGTGCCAAGTTTCATCAAAATCCAATGAGTGGTTCTTCAGATATTAGTGGAACAGTCTTGAAACAGCTAAAAATCAGCTAATTATCATGCAAATTAGGTAATTAATATTCATAGATTTTTACCCAAACCTAATCAACTCTGCGCATTATCCCAGAGCATCTATGTACCAAGTTTCACCAAAATTTGATTAGTGGTTCTTGAGATAACGGTGGAACAAAAAAAGTGACATACATACATACATACATACACACATACATACATACATACATACATACATACATACATACATACAGACAGGGTAACTGCAAAGACTCCCTTTTGTGCTTCGCACACGGGAGTCAAAAATGTACAAATACCTAAACTAAAAGAGTGATAATCTGGTTTAGCAATAATTAGGGTTCATTCAAAGGTCACGTCACTATGGCTGCCATTTTTTTTTCAGTGAAAAACTGCAAAAATTGATGGGCCGATTGACTTGAAACTCCATTTACATTTGTATCTCATCGCCTTGGTACACCTTTCAAGTATGGGAAAAGAAAACTAATATGTCATGTGAGTAGGTGACAATTTTGGATTGAAAATAAACAGTGAGTGGCTATTTAATTATTTTCAGAGGAGGATTTATGTGATCAAAGGGTCAATGAACACAGTCTGAAATGAGTATCAGATATTTCAATGTCAGCCTTCAAAGTTGAAACTGACATAGTTGCTCGGCAGCTTTAATACCGGTAATGAGTTTTAAATGGTAGCCATGACAACAGTATTATGTTCACAAAAAAGAGTACCCCCCAGTATATTGTTATGCTGTCCAAAGCAAAAATCTTAAAATCCAACAATATTTTTTTGTCATTTGTTTATAAATTACGGAGCCAAAGCTGAACAAAATGTTATTATTAGATTACTGGTAGTATGATATTCTTCTAGCTAGAAATTTACCTCAATTGTTTCTCAATTCAATAAATAGCTTATGGTCGAGAAGTCCAAAAATATACAAAGAAACGGTAAAAATGATGGTAATTGACTACACTTGCTGTGACTGCACAGTCATTACTGACAGAAAAATATCTTTTGTTACATTATAATTGCTGTAAATTTTCACCATTTAAGATATCATCAGAAACACTGAAATCCTACACTGGGTTTCACTAACTGAAATCCTACACTGGGTTTCACTAACTGAAATCCTACACTGGGTTTCACTAACTGAAATCCTACACTGGGTTTCACTAACTGAAATCCTACACTGGGTTTCACTAACTCACCTCTTTCTTGGGAAGTTCCCAGTTAAGTGTCAAGTTGAATGAAAATTTTGAAAGCACTCGTAGTTCACATTTAATCTGCACCCAACCTGGGCTGCGGAGAAATGACCACGGATAATACCATTTTTCTACTATTTGTTCGCTGGCACATAAACTTTCCAGCCATAGATGAAGCACTTGTTCACTGTAAACAAAAACAAAAAGTTACGAGATCTAAGTCTGGCATTAAGCACATACACATCAAAATACAAATTTGTTAAATGAGTATTATTATGGAGATTTAATTTCCCCCTTTAGCTTTCAATCTTACATTTTCATTAAAATTTTATTCAAAATGTATAATTGAGGCCCCCTATTTTAGTCAAAATGTATAATTAAGGTCCCCTATTTTAGATAAAATGCAGAAGACCACCTATTTTGGAAAAAAAATGTACAATTCAAATCTGTCAAAATGTAAAAATAAGAAAACCATATTTTAGTCAAAATGAAGTAGACCCTTATTTTAGTTAAAATTTAAAATAGGGGCCCACTATTTGAGGCAAAATAAAGGATTAAGCCCTCTTTTTATAATTAAACACTACCAGGAAGACCCACCACCAAAAAACCTTCCTAAAAAATATCGTAATATAAATGACTTACTTCAATCCTGCGCATATTAATGATCTAAACTTGACGTCCATTTGTGTATGAGCTGCATCATGTGATAGATTGATAGCTTGCACTGATCTGTAGAGAATTTCTTCCGGTGTCAAAACTTTGCCATCTTCATCCAACCTAGCAACAAACAATAAGTACAACATCACCATGTATCCATCATATAAAAAGGTTTGGGACGAATTAAAAGAACATGTCAATTTCTTTGTGTTTTCATTATTATGGGCTAATGCTAATAGGATACCAGAAATAAGAAAATCAATTGGGGTAATGTTTTGAGAAAATATAGTTGAGAATATATGGTTTTTTATGGTGAAAGTATTTCTTCATATCTAAACATTTTACTCAGTGAAATGATATGAAACTTAATATTGGGAAAATATTTTGAAAAAAATGCATTGAATTTAGCAATTTTCATTACATACAATGTAGATGGTTTTGAAGTTCAATAATATATATATAAGTATACACTGCCCATATTTGGGTATTGAGTGCCGGTCACTGCATTATATTACTCGACTGTATTACATTGTGTAAAATTGTGTTGTTGAATTAAGTTTCAAACGAATAAATTGAAAATTACTGTTAATACATTCACTGGTTTTTAATTTAGCTGTTCAGCGAAATTCCAAGTGAATATGAACAAATATCCAAACAGTGAAATTAAAGCGAGGGAGTCGTCACCTGCGCATACATCAGATGGCAATGGCCATAGCATGTCATTGTTTACAAACAAGCGTCTACCCATGAGCCTTTGCATTTTCAGCATGCATTGTTATTCTCGCACGTGCGCAGGTGACCTCCCTGCAACAAAAAATTACTGGTAATATGAGTATTCTCTAGCAAAAACAACTCTTTGAAACAATTTTAGTGGTATTTGATCGACACAGAAGTCTTATACTGGTGTTTACCAACATACACAGAAATCAGCAAGAAATGTTCAAATTACTATTTATGTTTTTCTCAAAGTCACACATTAAACATTTGGTCCAGAAGCAAAAAGGGTTTTAGACCTATTTGTTATCCAAAAACTGATGCAGCGTCATTTTTAATTTTAAACTTGTGCTGTAATTTAGTTTTTTCATGAATATTGTGTTAAGCGTTTATTTTCGAGGAGCAGAAACATGAATACTTTATTGCAGGGAATTAGAAACAATCAGAACAACATTGTCACATTTTCAACTTTTGAGCTCTCCTCTTCCCTTCTTTTCATCTTGTCTTGTTTCGTCTCCCTCATTTCTGACTCACAAGGCATTACATAAGGGTGTATCCCACCACACCTTAATGTCAGAACACAGTGAATCAGAAACTTACACAAGTTTACAGAGCATGAAAATGAAAGGACCGGTACAATTAGTGGGTGTGACGCTGACAGGTAATACCTGCATGACTATACTTGGGGGAGGGGGGTATCAATGCACAGTATCAATACATGATGAATCAATTCAGTTTCTAAAACATCATACTTACTTAGCAACAACAAGTTTATATTTATAATTTATCAGTAAACTCATATTTTACATCACTGCTCAGGAATTCCCAGTAGAAAAACATCCATAGTCAGCGCATAACATAAGTTAATAATAAAAAACAATTTGTTTTTAATTTAATAAAAAAAAACTACCCACAATGCACCAGGACAGTTCTACTGAGTGAAACCGCACTCCATATAAAGGACATATAAACACGTTCGTTAATTTGCTGCAGGTCGTCCAACATTAATTAAAAACAGCTGCAAACTATAAGAAAGTAACAGAGAAGCTCTGTTAACCATTAAACACAACTGAAATATCAACGACACTAATGTGATTTATAGTCCAAAACAAAAAAACTTCAGTGACAAGAATTCTACGATGATATACAAGCAGCAAATAAATGAATTATAACAAGATGTTTTTTTCAAAGCGATAATGACACCGGAAACTAGGATTATCTTACACTTTGCCACACCTGCAGAGGCGTAAATAAAAACTCTTTGTACAAGTTGTCTATGAGTGCATGAAAATACCACCGAGACGACCTAAAGCTGACACTAGCAAAATATTTGTTTTGTTTTTAACACAATCTACCAGTATCTCAGTATATTTGCTTTGCTTACACCATGCTACATTGCCGCTCTTAAAGTGTAATGAATTTCAGCATCGAGTAAACTAATGAAAAAATCCCCAGCGGCATACGATGCGTTCTGAATTGTAATGTAGTCATTGGGAGGAGTCGGCCATTTGATTATTCCAGTAATTCAATACGCCTTCACCTTAGTGGCAATGCGAGCAAAAAAAAAAAAAATTGCAATGTGAGGAGAGTGTGGAATTTAACAAGGAGGGTAACGGGCAATTGAATGAGGAATTCCTTTGAAATACTGGTTAGGGGAGTGAGCGAGTGAGCAACTGGTTTAGTAACGTACGATACAGACGAAGACTATTCAGCATGTATTCACGTGGATAAAGCCATGCACGCATGACAGGCTACTTTCTTGTGCACTAAAGCAAAAGTTGTTTCAGTACGGTGGGTGTGTCTGTAAATACGTCATGCTGAGAAAATGCGTAATAATAATCGTTAAAGTTATTTCTTTTCTATAAATATACGTGTGTATACGTGTTTGCCTTTAAGCTTGGCTCTACTGGGGATTAATGCAACCTGCATGAAACAGGATTAGTCATGGTCTGTACACAATTTGCAGACAATCACACTGACTTTGAAATATTTAATTGTAAAAGAATTTTTATAATTTTTCTTTTCATTATTGAGCTCTGAAAATAGAGAGGACAAAATCTCAAATGATTACTTTAATAATGAACTCCTGAATACATTGTGGTACCCTGACGGCATGTGTAATTTATGTGCGTTAACAAGTATGGGATTATCTCCCTGGATTATCTCCCTGGATTAGCTCCCTGACAATAGATTACATAATAGTGTATCCCACATTATTGGGATCTGCCATGGGATTTGTGTACCCCCATTTTTTTCATTCATAATTACGCATAAACCATTGTATTTTTATAGAAATTGTTTTTGTATTGGCGAAAATAGTTTTCTCTGAAATGTGATTGAGGGGCGAGAATGATGGCTTACACTATTAAACCAAGACAGACGTACACGAAGTTCAATTATTACTTACAGAATTCAAATAATAATATTAATCACATTTTTTTTATGAAGGGAATAAAAAACATATTTGTATTTTCAGTATTAATCATTTATTTCAAGTCAAGAACAAAGCGTGAAATTTCATTCATTAGGATCAGAGTAACTTTACAAAAAAAACCACTGCCCTCCTTAATAACCTCCCCTCAAATTATAAGATCAGAACATTAGATAGATATCGGGAAAATTATCTGGTCTCACATAATTTTCCCCCCAAAAATTTTAATGCAACATTCCCCCCTTTTTTATAATTTTTGTTGTTGATAATTTTGTACCAAATAGACACAATTTCCTATTGGCTAGAGATCTTGATTATAATTTTGGAAAATGTGGGTTTTGTTTTGTGAAAGGAGACAAATTTTGATTTTGTTGCTCAAATGGTTCAATTGGCACTTTGTGAAAAATAAAATGTTTTGACAACCAAATTAAATCCACAACATCGGTTACTATTTACTTTATAGTGTCTGCAACATTGCAACAAACATTGGTACTGTTGACTAAATATCCCAGCTATAGTGATAGTAATGTTTATTTTAGTTTGAAGTTTCAAGAAATATTTGATGAAATGAAAACTTTATTTTTCGGGCGCAAACAAACAGTGTGAGAAATTAAATAATATGACCATCAACAAGTTGCATTTAGCTAGAGCTGAGAGAAAAAACGTCAGTCTTCATGCACTAGGAATTTGCTTTAGAGATTTTCAAAAAATGCAGATTTTCCAAATAATATATTTCCTATAGACTAAAGACAATTTTATCAAATTTTGTCTTGAAAATGAGTGTCCTCTGAAGTTCACTCCCAGTATTTATATAAATAAACTGCTGCTGATAAATGTTTTTTATTGCTCTATTTATTCTTGGGTTATTACTATTTAAATGAGAACTTGCTTTTAAGGAGTAGAACTCACCTAAGGTGAGGCTAATGTCATGAATGTGGCCATGAACTTATGTTTAAATTTAACGATATACCTTGGGCTGATTCACGATCTTGCTGAGCCTTTGTCAAAAGTGGATTGAATTGTTATTGAGCTAATTTTAGTGAATTTCTATAAAAACTGAAAGCACCAAACGAATACTATAATAAACTAATAAATAAAAAAAATATACAACATTTTAAAAGTTTCTTTGCCAAATCTTTTTTGAAGAAACAGATGCAAACATACACAAACAAATGAAAGTGAAAAGTTCAACCCACACGTGCAATAAACAAACCAAACCAAAGCAAAGCTGTACCACCCCATATCGAATGAACTAGTCCAAGACACCACCAGCCAATCACATGCTCTTTTACAAACAATAACCAACAAACCACATTACTCAAGACTGAAAAGTTTGCAAAGTAAAAAAAAAAAATAATTTTCACAACATCCTCAGCGTTTTGTATTTAAAGAAGTAGCATCAAAGCATCCTGTCAACAATATGCGATTCACAAACCACCACGTGGAGGCCTCGGAATGACTCACTGACAGAGATTGATGTCATAACACCGAGCACTACAGAAGAGATGCATTGTTGCGTCGTACTATCTCATTCACTATCTTTGCAGTTTTCCCATGGTTTAATTTTAGCTCGGCAGAGTAACCTAGATTTCTTTAACACTGCCGAAATAGAATAGCTGTCAAGCAAGACCGAGATCCTTTGTGTCAAACATTGGGTGAAAAGCCAACTATCCAGAAGATGAAAGACCATGGAATACGCAGTTTCACACAAACACACGTACACCACCGCTAGTGTCATTTGTGGTGAACTGACAAAAGAAGGTGCAACATAGTTATCAGACGTGTACTTTTTACAAACCTACGATTGATGAAGATCATGGCAAAGCAACACATAAAGTTAATCTTAAGTTTGTTATGATTGCTCTACTTTGTTTGTTTCAAATCAAAAAAAAAGAAAAGAAAAAAGAAATCGTATTTGATGATTCACATTCACATGATCTGTACGTATACATGCATGCACGCCAGACGTGATATA